ACAGAATTTGGATGTACCAAGACTACATTCCCACAGGGCCACAGTATACATCAAGTGCCAAGTGCCTGCGGGGAGCCCCTTTTTTAGACTTTTTACTTGTTTCTGGACGTAATTGCGGTCAGATGCATCCCAGGAGGGCCGTAATTACGGTCAGATACATTTAAAATTGTGCTAGTGTGAGTATGCTCTCAGGGCATACACACACTGGTAGCAAAATTCACAAAAATCGCAGATTCTGCAATAGTACGGGGTCACACAGCCAGAGCAGGTACGCAAATGACTCAAATGGGTACGCAAATCCTCCAGCCTGCCTAGCCGGGGGGGTACGCAATTTGCGTCCACCTACAAATGGGTTTTAAAAAAAAAAAAAAAAAAAAAAAAAAATCCCTCTTCGTGTGTGACTTGCACGATAATGCAAATTCTGACACGGAGAAAGTTGCGGCCGTGTCCCATATGTGACCAGCAGCCAACGCAAATATCACTAAAGCCGTAGCAAATGTCACATTTTTTTGTGATATTTGAGTCCAGTGTGAGCAGGCCCTCAAACTACCTCCACTCTTCAGTCATCGATAGCTTGGTGCACCCAGCAACACACCACACGCACCAGCGTTGCGCACCCAACAACACACCCGCTTAACAAAACCCCCCTGGGGGGCATGACACCAAGATTAGGTGCTGTGAGTGGAGTCTCCCTTTCGCAATGGCCTCGTTGCAGTGCTGCAAAGAGTATATATAGGTAAGGCAGTGCTGATTCGAGGCAATCCCTTCCCCGGAGAAAAAGTCGTAATAGAGGGCAGTCTTCTGCTCTGGCTTTGGGCTCTGCAGCTGCGGCCTCCATGGGCATGGCGATGTCAGCACACTGAGTGCGCTGCACTCGTTCTCTCTTCCTTCTCACCGACTGGCAGTGTGCGCTTCCATTCTGTGAAACGGGTTCACCACAGCTGCCATCTGAGCCTGCTGCCCTTGGACGACTCCTCACCGTTGTGCACATCACGGCACCACTGCATTGGCGTATGTCGAAGAGTTGTCGGGTTAAGACGAGGGACTGGCCCCACTCGAGACCTTGACGGGGAGAGGAGAGGTCATCCATTGCAGTGCACTCCTGTTGTAGGGCGGATTGCAAGAGTGATAGACGGCCAACCAAGCGAGTAGGCAGGCAGGCAGGCAGGCAGGCAGGCAGGCAGGCAGGCATGGCGGCGCTTGCGCCAGTGCACCTGATTGGTGGCAATGGGGGAGGTGACTTTTACATCAACGGTGCACATAAAGGAGCCATTTTGAAGAGGATCCGAGTCTGGGTGGGCGGATGGATGATCAGAGGCATCGAGGTGCAGCTATCTGACGGTGAGAGCCAGATGTTCGGCTCGGTCGACGGGGGCGCCCGCGAGTTCACCTTCCAGATTGGGGAGAAGATCGCTTGGCTGTCCTTGTGGGGCAACGGTGCCGGCACCAGGCTGGGAGCCATTAAATTTGGGACAACCCATAGGCGGGAGTTCTTTGCCAAGATGACAGACTGGGGACTGAAGACCGAGTACAAGATGGAAGTCGGATCGGGGATCTGCGTTGGCTTGCAAGGGAAATGCGGCGCTGACATCGACTGCGCGGGCTTCCTCTTCATCAAAGACGGCCACAGCTTGACGCTGCGTTAACGTTTGAAGGGCACATACTACTAGTAGGAGGCTAAGGAGGGCGTTGCCCACAGGACCGCACACGTTAACGTAGACAAAACATGGGATGAGTTTTGATGTATGGGCTCATTGCAGAAATCCCCGTTCCTTTCAGAATGGCATTTCATGGGGGGAGAAATCCATTTTCCACAGTTCTTTTAACTTTTCTTTCATTCTTCTAATTTCGCTCTTTTGCAATACCTTTTTTTCCCTATCAGTGCCTGAGGCCAGACACCCAAGATCAGGTTGGTACTTGATGCACGTGCATGGAACACCTGTTTTCTTTTTCCCCTTCGTTCTTCATTTGAACCCAGGGGCGAGGTCCCACTAGCAAAGAGGATTGGAATGAACGCCGTAATTTGGCCGCGTATGTGGACACGTGCAGAAAATCGAGATTGAACTCCTTTTCTGCATCTCTGCCTAAAACACGTGCAGATTCAGGATCTTAATCCAATCCCCCTTGCTAGTGGGACCATGCTCCAGGTGCATCCACGCAACAAAACTTCGATATACGGACCCACGCGCAGTCAATTGGAACTTGTTGCATGGAGGCATGTGGGTACGTTCGAATTTGCTGCACGTGTGGAACTGGGAATGAAAAGGAGAGGGGGGGCAAAGAGATGGGGGGGGAGGGGGGGACAGTGGCAGCTATCAACCTCCTTTCCTCTTTCTTTTCCTCCTTCTTTTTCTCTTTCTTTTTCCCTTTCTTTTTCTCTGCTTTTTCTTCTTCAATTGGTTGTGCAAGTGGGCTTTATATTTTTCGCTTTCGTGTGTGCATGAATGCATGTGGGTGTATTCGAATTGCTGCACGCGGCTGGGAACGAAAAGGAGGGGGGGGGCAAAGAGATGGCGGTAGTGAGTCGCAGCTGCCAACCTCCTTAAGTTTCCTTTTTTTCTTCTCTTCTTTTGCTTCTTCAATGGGCTGTGCAAGCCTGATTTCTGTCCTTCTTCGTGTGTGTGTGTGTGTGTGTGTGTGTGTGTGTGTGTGTGTGTGTGTGTGTGTGTGTGTGTGTGTGTGAGAGAGAGAGAGAGAGAGAGTTGATGAGTCGGTGAAAGTCCAATGCAACAGTCCGGCACAGTCATGCTCTTTTTGTGGAGTTGTGAATAGGCTGCAACGTAGACATTGCCAACAGTCCAATGCCGAGCTATTGAATTCTGCTAATATCAGCATTCGGACTCAGTACCTGAACTTGTTTCTGATAGCCACCCTGGACTCCTGGAGGACTGCTTGCTCATAAATCTTCGGTCTCAGAGTCTGAGAGTTAGCCATATTAGGCAAAATGCCATGGGGCTGAACTTATCAGTGACTGTTATGCCTGATATCAGAAAGGAGTGATTCCATGTTTCCAGTTCCCCATACCCTTTGAACCATACATTCTGAAGGTCAAGCAATTTTTTTTTTTTTGCCCTCCGCAAAAAAAATGTTCAATGGGACTGTGGTCGGAATGGACGAAAGCTGGTCCTATAGGTGGGCAGGGTTGTGTGTCTTTTTGTTTTTTGTTGTTGTTGAAAAAATTGCCAATTTGGACCATTTCTCGATTTATGCGTGTCATCCTTGAGTGCGCAGGGGGCATGCTAATCTTCTTTCTCTGTATCGTTCCAATCTTAACGGATGTCCCGAAGGACGGTTGTGTCTCTTTTGCACTTGGATTTGTGAGTTCTTCACTTCGACAGTGGTGTGGGGCGGAAGGGGGGAAAACTGTGGAAAGGGCAACTGTTGAGTTTATATTCTTCTGACAGCAGTCGAGATTGTGAGGTTTTCGACAGTGGGGGGGTGGGTGGGGAGCATCACATTCAGGTTGGGCCGTAATTGCTGTCAGATACATTTAGGAAAGTGCGAGATTGTGAGTTAGTGCGAGTCTGCCCTGACCTGGGGGCTATATACATGATAGATAAGAGCAATACATAGAGGATTAAAATTAAAAAGAAAAAGGGGAGGGGGGGGGGGGGGGGGGGGGGGGGGGGAGGAGGGAGGGGATCAGAGTTCCGCATGGATGACACGCACAAGTCGAGAAATGGTCCAAATTATTGAAAGACCGAACCAAAAAAATACAAACACTGTTCTGACGATTTGTTTGGCCATGAAATGACGTGAAATGTATGAAGGGACAAATGTTCATGTGAAATGTATGGAGGGACAAATGTTCATGTGAAATGTATGAAGGGACAAATGTTCATGTGAGGGCATACGGCCTCGCCGCACCACTCACCAAATGTTCAAAATGAGAATGCATCTTCCCCTAGAACATGTAAAGGTACATTGCCATGATTTTTGTCTTTAATGCATTTGCTGACGGGTGCAGCCAGGCCCATAGTATGCCCTGAATTGAAATAAGAAAACAAAGAGTACTAATGAGAATCCTCAGGAACAAGGGCGTCTTTAGACACTCCTCGGGGACGTGAAATCCACAAGGACGCGCTCTTTCCACCTGTCCTTGGGGACGAAATTGAATAAGAAATGTGAAAACGCCACAAGGAAAATTCCTTGTGGCATCCTTGTGGCCCCAGCCAAAATTTCCTTATCTCCAAGGGACCTCGTGAGGTCCCTTGGAGCTCAAGGAACCGTGATTCACGGAGTTGCGAAGACATGCGTCGACGGAGAGTTTTGGTTCTTGGGTGGTCCAGATGTGGTCCAGCGCGGTTAGCACGGACATCCCCGCCCTCCAACGTCTGCGTAGTCCCCCAACGTCCCCCAACGGCTACTGTTGGCGGTGGGCCTCCATCGGGTGGCGTCGTCGTTTTCAACCGGCATCATGCGGTCTCGTGTGCTCGAGGAACGTATGCGTAGTCCCCCAACGCCCCCAAACGGCTACTGTTGGCGGTGGGCCTCCATCGGGCAGCAGCGTCGTTTTCGGCTGGCATCAACGGTCGGAATTTATTTTTTTTTCCGGCGGCGCCTTCAGTCCATCCACAGAAAAGGTTTCTTCACAAGCGTCGTATTCCCATGCATGTCATCGCATGCTGCACGTCCAATAAGACTCTTGCCTTCTCCGCCATCGTCTGCTCATTGCTGTCCTCTCCACCATGCAGTTCATGGCCGACTTGTAACACAGGCTCCCTCTGCTGCTCCTCATCGCTGTGCTGCTTCTGGTGGTCCCTCTGCTGCTCCTCGGCGCTGTGCTGCTTCTCGTTGAAGTAGTCATCTGTGGCATCGTCGCATTGTCGAAGGTCTTCCCATGTCCCCCTCGTCCTGCGTTTGATCCACCACCTCGGTGTCGCTCGTGGAATGACGCTGCAACCCAACACGTAGCACAACTCAATGACAGCCTGCGAAGTTCCCACGTAGTCGGGGCCGTCATCCGCAGCTTGCACCAGCGTCCTTCTTCTACGCGCACGCACCTGCTCCTTCATTCGTCCCTGCGCCCTCTCCTCCTGACAGCGAAGAATAACGGTTGACACGGCCAGGCCATCGCCACGGCTGCCCGCTCAAGCAGTGTCAACAGCGCACGTCCGCCATCTCCCCTGCCCTCCATTGCCACCACCTCCACAGGGATGATGTCTCTCCGCTGCCGTCTCAATCATCGCACCCCAGAGACGAAACCCGCTCACCCCCCGAGGAGAGGTCCGAGAAGCTGCCGCCTTTCCATGGATGTCGCCCCCCTGGCGGAACAGCGTGTGACGGCGCGGATGATGTGGAGGAGAAGCTCGACGGTGATAGACGCGCCCAGTGCACACACGTACACTGCCCGGGAGGTGGGCGGAAGGGACGCCGCCGCTAAGGCCGATTCAGCCCTGCACCGTCTGTGCGCTGCAAGCCGAACATCGTCGTCGCCACCACAGCTGTACATTTTGAATTTCAAACGTAGAGGTCCCCCTTTTTTTTTTTTTTTTTCGTGGCCTGCCTCATGGCCTTTTCCGCCGGACGTCGCTGGACCACGCCGTCTCCACACGGACACCAGACGCTGGACCACGGACACCCCCGCCCGCGGCCGCATATCTTCATATGAAAATGGCCGCGGGCAGGCCACAAGGAAACGTTCTCGGGGGACGTCCCCAAGGATGTGTGGAACAAACCCACCAAATTCCCTGACGAGCCACAAGGAAAATTCCTTGTGGCTCAAGGAACACGTAAGGAGTGTCGAACGACACCCACGTCAAAGAAGTTTCGCATTCCATCAGTCAAAGAAGTTTCGCATTCCATCACGTGTTTACACTTTTTTTTTTATATAATAAAATCCCCTTTTTTTAGGGCCCAGTGCCCAGGGCTAGTACATACAATGTGAACAAAAGTGCCCAATTCAGGGGCCACAAAGTCTCCAAACCTACTCTGTGAGGCGGAGCCCCTCCCCTGGGGCCTGGACCCACTAGCAAGGTATTCTACCACGCCGTTCAGGATTTTGATCACGTGTGGCATCGAGTGACTCAGTACGGCCGTCGAATAGATCGGATCTCGACGGCCTGGTAGTTTCCGAGCGGGGACTGTAAAGATGCCCACCTCCCGGTCAATGAGATGCGTCGGGAAAAAAAAAAAAAAAAACGAAGTTGGACTAAGGGAGGGACCCCACTGGCTGGCGGWAGCTGGCGGCCAGGAAAGCATCCGCCAGCACAAATCGTAGCCGACGGGAATGGGCAAGCGAAATGGGACCCCACTGCCACAGTAATTTTCGGCACTTCCCAAGGTGTCTGTTACCCGATAAGGAAGACTTGCCTTTTCGGGCAAGTTTGCCTCCGCTTTTTCAGCACACCAACCAATCCCCGTGCCTCCTTTCCGCACGGGATGGCTGGTATGCTGGCGGGCTCTAGATGTTGGCGTGCGTACCAGCCATCCCGTGCGGAAAGGAGGCACGGGG